TGTTTTTACAGATTGGTGACAATTTCACAGGTTCCTTGTTATTTTCCTGAGAGTTTACAAGAAAGAAGTTGGCAATTATAACATTTTATAATTAACTCCTTGATTCCTAGAGAGAATATCTGAACCACGTCAAAAAACATACAATGAACATGTATGAATGTTTTGATAATAAGAATTTAAACGTTTCAGTAAATGAGGGACCGATAAAAGAAGTTTCCTTGTTGTCATTATTTAGTTAAAATCCACTCGCCTCTGTACACGACTCCAAACTGTCCCGACCCCAGCACCTCGTCCGTAAAGATCTGATACACGGAGCTGACGTCCTGAAACACACGTGAACGAACGCCGACATGTAAACAAACGTCAGGAGTTCACGTTGTGAGATAAAAAACAGCAGGAAACTGATTCTCACCGCGCTGTCTCTGTGTGAACGTAGATCTGGAAACAGAAGAGACACGATCACAGAGAAGGAAGTCGTCGTTTAGTTTATTACTTATTTCAAATAATATTACAAATGATCTACTTCCTGTTTACAGCTATTTTCATTTTTAAAACTTTACTCAAATCCACATTTATTGGGTTCGTTTGAGTTAACGTTCAACAACCTTCACATTTTTTTTATATCTGAAAACATGAAACCCCAGAGGAATGGTTCAATGTGCTCACCGTGCTCCTCCTCGCCGCTCCCTCCTCCGCCGCCGCTCTCCACGGGCATCAGGCCCTGACGGATGGCGCTCTCCCACGCCGGCCCGTCCTCACCGGCCACCACGCAGTACACCAGCGAGGCCGTCACCACCTCAAAGGAGTGGGCGCCGTTTCCTAGCAACTGAGGCGTGGTGAGCTGGGCGGAGCCTCGGACCTGCAGCACCTCAGACAGAGGGATCTCCTGCAGGAGGAAGAGGGGGCGGCGTTACGTTACAAATGCTGACACGAACGACGGAGGATGAAGTGAAAGGCGGTAAAAACAAATATGAGTTTGATTTAAAGAAACTCTTCAAGCAGAAAGAAACCTCTGGTGTTTTAAAAAGTTCTGACTCGTCCTCATGTGATTCAGCTGCTGTGATTAAATCCAGCGCATCAGTCTGATGTTTGCTTGTAATGACGAGCTCGTACTTTGTAGAACTTGGTGCTGCTGTCGCTCTGGTACAGAGTGATGCTCTTCCAGTCCAGGATCCAGTAATGACGTTTCCTCTGGGAAAAAGAAGAAGAAAGAAATCCTCCAGAATCCATCACATGTGAGAAGTGGATGACTTCAAATGACTTTGAACAAGTTGAGTCACATTTACGTCTGTATAGTCTGTCTGTATCTATCTATCTATCTATTTATTAATCTATCTATCTATCTATCTATTTATCTATTTATCTATCTATCTATCTATTTATCTATCTATCTATCTATCTAT